GTCCAAATATTTGTGTACAGTCAAGTGTACTTTCTTGGCCACGAATGTGTTAATAGGACGCGCAGAGAAGCATATGCAAACGCGCAACCACCAGAGTATCGTGCCTCCCCTAATTTCTTCCCCTAAGAAAAGCCAAACAAACGCTGCTCCCCGTTTCAGACCATCCTTCTAACCTGCGTGAACACAAGCCTGTAAGGCTTTGAAGCCTGATTCTTTGCTCTGATAAAAGAAAAATTGTGTTAATCGAGGCTATTCGAGGAGGAATGGCGAGGGAAGAGTAACTTTCAAGTTCGACGTTGTGCGTGTGAGCGTATGTACGTGTGTATGGCGTGCTATTGCGTTAATTTCTTTTGCTTTCAAACGACCCTGAGAGATCGCGAACCATCTCCGTGTCAGTTCTAAGATATCGAGTGTTCAAGGTGAGGTAAACGTATAAGCAGGTCGTAACGGAGGAAGGGGAAAAAAAAGAAGGAAAAAAAAAGAAACTTTTGTCGCACGAGTCTATATGCAAGTCAAACGATGCATTATTCCTTGACCTGACCTAACGGAGGCTCCTTTCATATTCATTAGAATCGTTGCCCTCTTTGGACCGCGAAAGGCGCCCGCATGCTCTCACTCCACAACCAAATTTCTTCTTCTTCTCTCTTCCTCGCTGTTATACTTCTCTTACTTACAAACCATTAGAACGTGATTTGATGTACGTTCATTAATATTTAGAACCAGCAGAACTAATTTGTCACTTCTTCGCAGGAAGTTTTTAAAAACGTGCATCTTTACAAAAGATTATATCTCTTTTTATCTGTTTTTATCTCTTGCGCTTTTTTAATTTGTCTGATACAAATTTGTGTATATGGTAGTCGTTCTAGTATATTGAACTAATGGAAAAAAAAATATATACCGTCGGCACAATAGAATTTGCAGAAAACGAAAAAATATTGAAAATAATTCCTTGCTTCCTTTCTCCGTCAAGAGATTCTCGATCGCAAATATTACATCGAAACAATGAAAACAGACATATTGTTGTTGTAATAAAAAATGACTTGGCAGAATAAAAATGAGAAAGAAATCAGCGTTCAATATCATGGTGATTTAAAAACGAGAATGCCTTTAAATTAGAGCAAAGAAAAACGGAGCGTTATTGAAATTCCTCGCTGTCTAAAAACCGAGGTTACCGAACATCGGAGGAAAGGAACGGTTTATCGCGGTCAGAATCGCCTTTAAAAAAATGTCAGCCGAGCCTCACAGGACAGATGCATAACGCGCGTGCATCGATTAGCATTTGGACAGTATGCATCGGAAGATTTTCGATATCAGTCGCATATCTGAAAGGGTCGTATGAATAATATGCAACGATGCAACGCTAAACTGCCCCGACACATGCATCAATGAATGAACTTTTCTTTATTCGTCTTGTTCCAGCTGCTTGGTAAAGAAAAAAAGAGAGAGAGAGAGAGAGAGAGAGAAATCGCGGTAACATTTTGAATTTAAAGTCCATTCGTATAAATGGCATTTTCGAAAATTCTTTTACCAGCATGAAGTAATGTTTCATTGTCAGTTAAATCCACATTGTTGCTTCTTGTATAAAGACTTGCAGACAATTGACAGATGTTCGCAGATGTCTCTCCATTTCGTCGATAAAGAAAATATAGACTAATAACAAAATTATACATAAAAAAGTTCACCACTACGTAATCAACATGATAGTATATCGACAAATTTACCGAAAAAAAAAAAATCTATGTAGATTAAAATTCGTAGTTTGCATCGAGTATATCAAAGTTTTTGTAAAAATGTTCTGCAGACAATTTTGCGCTGTACTCGATTTAAAATACTCATATCGTACAAATTTTAGATATTGTTGTCTCTCTTTCTCTCTTCGTCTCTTGATCACGTGATGCACTTTTGTTAGAAGAAAACCGTGAACGTTGACGCGTCTTTTTTTATATTATGCGACACAGATAGGAAACACACGATCTGTTGAAAGAATTGACTTTCAGATGAAGGAACTTTGGACGGCATAAAGCCCGAAAGGTGAATCTTCCCTTCTTCCCCTCTCAAGTCTTCCCCCCCCCTCTCCCCTTATAGAGAAAACTTATAGTTGGTTAAAAACCTATTTGTAGTCTTTTGTCAAGGCGATACGCGGCCACAATAACAGCTCATTGAATAATTTGTATAGAATTATGGTAATGCATGACGAGAGAGGGACTTTCGAATCGATTGACCGACAAACGCTGTCCCTCTATTGACACGGGGGCCCAGTGAATTTCCACCATTCGGAGGCAATTCGTTTCTTTAAATGCCTGTAATTTCGTTCTCCACGACAATCTGTTTTACAATTTAAATTGGATAACGTTCGTCAACGGGACGTGTTGTAAAGTCGAGACAGTCGTCTTTTTCCTTTCGTTGAAACGAGTGAACAATCGAGTTTATTGCACTGACTTTGTGCACAAACTTCCACATTATTTTTCTACTCGCAGTGTCATTGTTTCGTTAGTTTTAATTTAATTAAATGCCCGCGCAGCTTGTGTCGTTCACGCTCGCCGAGTTCACTGCTCGATCTTTTAATAAATTAATAATAGTTTTTTCGGGGCGTATTCGTTAATTGTCTGAATTCTTGGTGCGTGAATTGCTTTCCCTGGGAGGTAAGAGGCAAAGATCAACTCTCTCCTGTCCATCGATTACTTCGTTAACGGCACAATCGTACGAAATTTCAAGCTCGTCGAGTTCGAAGTGGCAGGCGCGTGGCGAAAAGGGGAAAAAATGAAGAGAACGAAGAAACCGTGGAAAGAGAGGGAAACAGAGACGAGATCCAGCAATTTGTCCAGCACGCGTTTCAGTTACGAATTCAATTTACCCTTCAGTATCAGCGGCGCGAATTGAATTGAATTGAGATATCCGAGATGGTTGGTTCGGCGTCGCAGGCTCGGATGGATAAACCGGCTTTTGCATGGATAAAAACAACAGGCGAAATGTACACGGAACACGTGAGAGAGTCCATCAGCGGTTACGTAATCCAGGCAATTTCTATGGAATGACAAGGCTTTTATAAGGTCTCGATTCACCGTAAAATCTTGACATCCTTTCTATCGGGCGCGGGCAATTTGAAAACCGAATATGCCGGCGGACCTTCAATACCGTTTTTTTTCTTTCTCCTTTTCCAAAGAGAACCGTGACTGGCCATAATTTCGATTGCATAAGTGCAGCCCATCCCCGCCAATGCGCGTCCTTCCCTTTCCTCCCTTCCCCCGTTTCCTTTTTCTTTTTCCTTTTCTTTTCTCTTTCTCTCGCGCGAATCCACGGCCGAGGCATACGCCATACTACGATACTTGCATTGTTCACGACGTACGGGGATACTTATGTAAACGCGTGCAACAATACTAAGTTACTAATGATATGCTGCTTACCAGTCGCGGTCGCATCCTGCTTCGACTCGGCTCAAACTCGACGAGGAGTAACGTCAACGTGTGGCACAACTCACGTGTTTCACTCTACTATCATTAGATTAGTTGTTCTAGCTAGGAAAATGGAATTGTTAACAATTTTCAACAGCGTGTAACTTGGGAGCTATTATATATACATGTAGCCAGATTTTGAATGTTTCGCTTTGCTTCACTTTTTTGTTTCGTCGATACGTCATTACAAAGATACCAAATGACTTGCCTGTCAAAAAGAAATCCGGAATCACGGGTTTCCCGAGCTAAAACTTGGTTAGAAAATTTTGTGCCGTTCAACTTTCGCGAAATTCGAGTTTGAAGTTTATTTTTTGTTTAACGACGTGACTTCTTTTGGCAAGCAACGAGTTTCAGATATAAATTTGGAGCGAGTGGTTGCAATTAATCAACGTTTTCTTCTTACATGAGCATTCCAGAAGCGCACATTTTTCGCCAGATACGATCGAATAATCGCGAGTTTCCTCCTTTGCCGCGAAAATTGCTCGCATCCGAATTACGCTGAAACGTAACTTTCGATAGTTGATATCTTGTCTTAACTTTACGTGAGATTTAATTATCTAATGCACCGATTGGAATCAACCATGTGATCCACACGGGTTTGTTCACGCGAGCGTGATATAATGGAACATCTCGTCTATAAAATATCACCGGACACTTAATAAAATCGAGATTGCGAAGTACGAATCTTCATCATTTGTCCTGCATAGATATCAAGTTTTGTCCAGTTAATCTGTGCCATTGCACAGAATATTCAATTATTGTTCTGTTTTGAAAATTTCCTCAACTTTTACCAAATGGCTGACTCCCATGTTTCACAATTCGTACAACACAGTCACCTTCGATGTTTACAATTTTATTCTATTTTATTTTCCTTTGTAAATTAGAAATTTACCGAAATTTTTAAATCGATAACATTCATTTGAATTGTCAACGAATTATCGACAAGAAAATCACGTGAAAGAATGGTATGAATTTCGCTTGAAATGAACAAGTGTTTGATGACTTATGGACTGAAGTGTATATGCTTTCGAGTCTGGATTAACTATCGAAACATCGTGATACATCGTGACAGAAATCTGTCTTATTCGACTACCAGATCCGCTCGAAATTCAAAAAGTGGCGGCCTTTTTCGCGCGGTATAACCGAATAATCGTGAGTTTCCTCTCGGACGGAAATTACTCGCATCCGATTTAGCCATTGAAACGCCGTGACGTTGTCTACTGTGCACCGATGCTCGCGGTCCCGACAAATAATATTTCCCTGTCGCTCGTGTACGAACACTTTCCTCCCGCTCCGCCTGTAAACGATCGCTCGTTTTCGCGACGATCGTTACAAACGTCCGATGAATTTCCAATCGAACGACCGCCGCTCGTGTTTTCTCGTGCGCTGGTGCATTAATGCACGCCACGCTTTCGAAATCATCGGCATCTGTCCGCAGGATCTTCGTGAATTTTCTTAAACCTATCTCCGACAGGATCGCGGCTCCTGTATAATGTTATTATGGACGGGACTTTGCATAATAAGGTACGAACATTGAAAGAATAGACCTTTTATGCAAATTCATGTTACTCAGAGTGCAGTTTAAACGTGGGACCTGGGCACTGTACTTTGAACATTTCATATACTTTTTCCTATCACGCATGTATCCGCTATGTACACTCTGTTTTCTGTCAAAAATCTACAGTCGCAGAGAAAAATCACGACGATTAACCTTTTAAGAATATAATTTAAAAGAAGAAAAAGAAAAAAACGGAAAACTCGTGATTAATAGATCTTTCGATATATGTATTGTGTGTCTTTCGATGTTGCGTGTATTCTGTGCAACTTTGTACTTTAACCCACTTTTTCATTTTTCTCGCTCGGTCTCTTCAGACGTCTTTCCTTTTTTTGCTCCATTTACAAGAAGCGTGGAATAAAATTATGTTGGATATTGAATCTAATATAATATCTATCGAAATATAATATCCACTTTGATGAAAGTAAAATTTGCATTTTTTTCCAATGAAATTTAAAAAATGGGACCTTGTAACATAAAAAGCATAATGCTTCGAATATTTTATATATACATATATTTTTTTCATATCATTTTTGTATTCTGTTTTATACCATATATAAAATTTTCTATAAATGCGTCAAAAATTACAATCTTGTCACAAAATTACGACCAACGTTCAATCACCGAGTAGCATTTTTAACAGCCGACATGTCACACATTTTGTTACGTATTTAATGTGAGATTGAAGGGAACTTATTTGTTCTTCGAACTTCTGTCGAATAACGAAACGCTAACTTCAAGCGAATGCCGAAAAATTGAGAACTTTTGTAATTTTTGTTTCAGAACGACAGTAACCACGATGACGAGAGTGAAGTGTTCTTTTGGGATCCACCGTCCGCGAAGAACCGAAGTTCGAAAAGTCAGAACCACATGCGACAATTGCAGGAACAGTTGGCACAAGCCACCGTGAGGATACGAGATTTAGAAGTGGAACTTAAACGCATTCAAAAGGTGAACCAAATTCCATTTTTCCGAAATCAATAATTCAACTCATTCATCAGTTGAAATGAAAGTTATTAAGATATTGCGCGTACAATATTTTTTCGGTACTTTCGTTACTCCGTGTACCTAATAATCGCATTGTCTCCTCTGTCCTACTAAACATAAAAGGGATAATTACCGGCGCAATTGTTCTCAGATAATTGCATTTAATTTTAACTCTGTAGCGAACGTCCGTTTCACGCATATATACACGTGACAGCACGTGTCATCGCGCGTTATCAATCAATATCATATCACCTTAATTGTTTTAAATGCCCGCGTATCATCAACAACTTATCATTACTGTTCTTTCTCCAAATTGCGTAACGTGAATGTTAACAGATCGTCGACAGTTTTACATCTCTTCTCACATTACATTGTTCGTAACATTTAATCTTAGCTCTCAACACTGGAACTATCGACGATTAAAGTATAAAATATGTATCAAAGAGTGCAGAAAATTCGCGACGCAGTAGCTAAGAAGTTCTTTGATTTCTTTCAATTAATTTCAAAGTTTAATTTAAAAGAAGATCAAGCAGATCGAGTTCAAAGTAATATTACTAATTAATTACTAAAGAAAAAAAATTGTCGCAATTGAATTCTAGGTTAATACTTCCTCCTTGAAAGATGAATTCACCGATGGTCATCAAAAAGCAGAATTCCTGAGAGCGAAGCAAGATATGGTGAACCGTATAATACAAATGGAAGAAAAGGTAGATACACATTATTTCTTGGTAATTCGTAGTAAATGTATTTCGAAAGAAATGTACACACGAAGAAGCTGAAGATTTCTTCGTGTCTAGATTATGTCTAGAGAATGTACATATTTCGATCTTCGATTGAGAAGCATTCCTAAATGAATCACCGTACTTGATCAAACAAATTTCAGATCGCTAATATTAGTGCAGCAGATAGTTTTCAAAATAAAAAGTTCTAGTGTGATCCTTTGAGTTTACTTTATTTTTTAAACGACGTGATGTATTTAAAAACTTCAATCTGATCAAATAAAGCAGATGATCGAAGATAATTATTTTTAGCAACTGTTAACACCATGCTAATGAACATTGACACGCTGCCGATATATAACAGCGCTTGAAAGTCCAGCGCTAGATCCTAAATGTTTGCATAGTTCTCTGCGAGATAAAATCCAAAACTTTTCGACAAAGATATAGTTTCCATTCCTTTCTTTTTTGTATCAGTTCATTCCTTTGGACATTTAAGTATCTGTACGTTATTTTCTCGAAACAAAAAAG